ATAGATAGATAGATATAGATAGATGATAGGTAGATATAGATAGATGATGATAGATAGATAGATAGATAGATAATAGATATCTAGGTAGATAGATGATGATAGATGATAGATGATAGATAGATAGATAGATAGATAGATAGATGATAGATCGATCCTCGGGTGAGGATTTTTTTAAAAAGTTCTAGTATCTAATCTTACCTAAGGCCCTGAAAACAATAAACTACTATTTTTCTGAGCCACATAGCACAGTGAGCCTCACACAAACAGTGGGTGACGTAGCTGCTGGTGGGCAACATAACCCCCATCACAAACGTGAGGAAACACAGGCACGAATGAGTGTGTGGCTTGCCGGAGGCCACACAGTACCAGATGGGGGCGGGGGTAGCCTGCCTCGGAACAGGGGAGCCACGCGGCCTTCTCGCCAAACCCTGCTGCCTTGCAGAGGGCCCAGCGTCAACACTGCCGGTTTAGAGCTTGAGAGACCGTGAGGTGGGCTTTTTTTTGCCGTGACTCTAAAGGGCGAATTAGAGTTCCAACCCAAAGAGGCTGAGCCTGAGTCACCAGGATGAGGTGAGGGTTCCAAGTCTTCAGCCACGGTGAGCACTCCCCTCAGATTCTCTTCTCGGTCAGCCCAGGCCCCAGCAGGGAGCTGGCCAGTCCAGGAATGGGTCAGGGGCAGAAGTTTCCCAGGGAGACACCTGAGTCCCTGAGAGACGAGGCCTTATGATGAGCAAAGGGAGCGGCTTCGAGGTGGCCGGGGCTGCCTGGAAGGGTGCATGACCACCCCATCCCTGGGGCTGCGGAGAGGACCACTCCTACAGGAAGGATGCTGGTGGAAACCCAAGCAGGTAAAGCTAGGATACCAGATGCGATCCTGCCCCAAGGACCTGTGGGTCTGGGCTCAATCTGTCACTCCATCTCTGTTCATCTTGAGCCAGAGGGGACCGGGCCACATCCTCGGTAACCTCTGAAGGGACACACACATTCCTTCCTGCAGGGCAATGGCCTTGGGTAGCCTCATGGCCCCAGAAAAGGGAGACCTCATCTTCCTGCACCAGCCCCAGTGTGGCTACACTTACCTGGGGCCAGCCAGCTGGTGGGGGCGCCGCGGTGATTGGTGTCCCGGGCCGGGGACCCCACCATGTCCTTCTCCATCACCACCTCGAAGTTCAGGATAAACATGATGACAGCTCCATCTTCGTTCTTCACGGGCACCACATCCACCAGGCACAGGAAGCAGCTCCCTGCGGAGTGAGGGACACGGCACCAGGGCCCCTGGGTGGGCAGAGCAGAAACCCGAAGGGGCCCGTCCACCTCTGCCTCCCCCACGGCCCCCTCCTAGCCAGGGCCTCCTGCCCCACCCCTCCTGCTCCGTGCCTGCCAGGCCAGCCGGAGCTTCTGCCCTAGTCTACCCGCCCCAACCTGCTGTGGGCCCGGCTCTCCCTTCTCTCCACTCGTCGTTTCTCTAGCCCTCACCCTCGCTTAAGCTCCTTTCTGCCTCCACCTTGTCATTTCGTTGTCCCCGGCCTCTCAATTTAGCCTCGTGTTCCCTCACACGTGGTCATGTAGTGTGGGGATTAAGCCCACAGACTTTAGGCCTGGGGGGTCCCTGGGTTCAAATCCCACCTCCGCCGCTTAGTCATTTATGCACGATGCTTACATTATTTAACCTCCCTGGGCCTCGTCTTCCTGGGCTATAAAATGGGAATGATAATAGCTCCTTTGTCCTGAGTTGTAAAGATTAAGTCAACACACGCTGAGAGCAGAGAGCAACACCTGGCACACGGTTAGTTCTTCCTCTCCGAGTTGCCATCCCGTCCTCTCCGCTTTAGCCCCAGCTGCTGTATCAGTCCACAGCAGATCCGCCCAGAAGCGGAGAGCAAGTTTCAAAACCTCTAAGCAATTCGACAGTGCCACGGTCTCCAAACACGCAATCTTGTATTTCACAAAGGTATCGGTCTGTGACATATTAGAAATAAAGGTGGTCTTTCGCCAAAGAATCACGAAGCACAGCCCCTAGACCTTGCATCTCTGTCTCTCCTTGTCTCTCTTTCCTCTCCCAGTCTCTCCCTGTCAGGCCACCAGGCAAGGCCAGGCCACCAGGCCAGATGCACCCCATACCCTTCTGCTCCCTGCCCAGCTCACAGCCCCTCACCCTCCTCTTCCCCATGGACCCTGCGGGCACCAGGCTTGTCCCTTATCACCCTTTCTTCTGGGGACAGACGTCTTTCCTTGTCTCACTCCCCCTGCTCATCTGTCTTCTCGGAACTGCAGGGGCCTAACTTTCCAGTCTGCGTCCCCTCCGTGGGGCCTACCACCTAAAACAGCGCTCCCGGGAGCAGGCACTGGCCAGTGGGGCTGGTGATGGAATATTATGGTGAGGGAGGGACCAGGGATGGAGAGAGGTGGAGAGGACATGGAGGTGGTGAATTGGGTCAAGGGAGAGGCCAGCAACCTGGAGGCGCTCTGGGTGGTGTTTGATGCCTGCCGCCAGGCCCTGGGGGCTGAGCCCTGGGGAGTGTGGCGCCAAGGGCCTGAGCAGACCAGGTGTGAAGGGTGCCGTTAGACCAGCAATTCTAACAGCTGTGGAATTTATCTCGTGGAAGGAGATCCTCTGAAACCAGCTGGAACAGGATGGCACTGGGGGGCGGGGGGAGGGGCTCTGGACCAGGGCAGGGGCTGGCCAGGGATTCTCCGCCCCACCTGAGGTCCTTCCACTCACCTCATCCCAGGCCCTTCTGGCTCGGCCCTCGGAAACTAAGGGGGGGGCTCTGTCTGGATCTCCCACCAGCAGACTCTCCTGTCCCCTGACCTCCGGCCTCTGACATGGCCCAACTGAAGCACAGCTGTGGTGTTGGGAGCTGCAGGGGGCCGGACCCAGCTGGAGACCATTTGGCACCCAGACAGCCCGCCTAGAGTTTATGTCCTAATATGGTGATGGCCAGCAGCGGCCTGAATAGGGACTGGCCCTCGTTGGGACTAGGAGAGGCCAGAGACTAGGAAACCTTAGCCCTGGAGACCCCTAACACCCCCCGAACCCTAGTGATCCAAGCCTCTGAGCCTCAATCCTCACCAGGAAACTCGTCCCAGAAGACCAATGTCTGGAACCAGAGGAGCCCAGCCTCGGGACGGCCTGGGGATTCTGACCCTGAGGCCTCAGCACCCTGCTGCCCACTCCGTTCAGACTTCTCAGCTAGAGATTAGAACTGCATTCCACAGCCCAGCACCCTGGCATCCAGATTGCCAGCTCACCCCCCGCCTGGCTGCAGAAACTCCAAATAGAAGCCCCCAGGCAGCTCAGGCTCACCCTGGCCCCTAGACACAGTCCTACGCAGAGCCCCCTTGGCCCTCTCTCTGTGACATTCAAGGAATTTTTCCTTTCAAATAACCCTGTCAAAGCCCAGCTTCTTCCAAAAATGTGACCTGGAGCCCTGCCTGATGGCTGCGGGAAGTGGCCGCAGGGGGAGGTTCCAGCTGCTATGTTTGAGGGGACGCAGAAGGAAGGAAAGCGGGTGGCCTCAGGGCTCCCTGAGGCTCTACCTCCAACCCTCCTGCCAAGCTGGTCGGGCCTTCTGTGAGCTGCACGTCACATACCCCCGGCCCTCCAGCCAGACCCGCCAGTGGACCCCATCCCATCACTGGCTGTGAGTATGGGCCCGAGGTCCCTGAGGGCAGCTGAGGGTCAGCCAGGCCAGGGGTGGGGCACAGGGACAGCAGGAGCAAACTCCAGCCTGCGGGCAGGTGGGCTCTGACCCTCAGGCAGCAGAGATGTCGGCAGTCGGTGGCTGAGCTGCTCCCCAGAGCCCCGCGCTGGCACATGCACACACAGTGCCTGGCCCCCCACCAGCCCCCGCTCCTGCGGGTCGCTCGTTCCTCTTTCCCCCGTGACCTCCCCACCTCGCCTGGCCCCCAGGGCGGCACCCCCTGGCGCAGGGGCGGACGTAGGCCGGCCGAGGGGAGCGAGGCTGCAGTTCCACGGATGGCCACACCGTGGCAGGCGCGGCCCACATTCCCGAGG